GAATGGTGAAGCATCCTTTAATCTCAGCACTCAGGAGACAGAGGCAGGGAGATCTCTGTGTTCAAGGCCAGCCTGGTCTACATCATGAATTCTAGGACAGCTAGGGCTACATAATGAGATGCTGTCTCGATCGTTATCATCATCATCATCATTACCATCTGTCTTAGTTGAGTTTTGGTTGCTGTGAAAAGACACCATGACCACGGCAACTCTTACAAAGAAAACATTTAATTGGGGGTGGCTTACAGTTTCGGAGGTTCAGTCCATTATCATCATGACAGAGAACACGGCAGCACGCAGGCAGATGTGGCGCTGGAGCAGCTGAGAGTCCTACATCTTGCAGGCAACAGGCAGTCACACTGAGGGACAGTTGAGCAAAGGAGGCCTCGGAGCCTGTCCCCACAGCCATGCACTTCCTAATAGTGCTGCTCCCTATGGGGCCATTTTCTTTCAAACCACAACACCAACTCCACCATCACAATCACCATCGTCACCATTCCCATAGTCACCATCCCCATCAATACAACTGTCTTCATCCCCATCCCCATCCCCCCATCCCCCCATCCAATCACCATCCAATCACCATCCTCACCATCCAATCACCATCCAATCACCATCCAATCACCATCCAATCACCATCCCCACCATCCAATCACTATCCCCCCATCCAATCACCATCCTCACCATCCAATCACCATCCAATCACCATCCTCACCATCCAATCACCATCCAATCACCATCCCCACCATCCAATCACCATCCAATCACCATCCCCACCATCCAATCACTATCTCCATCATCCAATCACCATCCAATCACCATCCAATCACCATCCTCACCATCCAATCACTAGCTCCATCATCCAATCACCATCCAATCACCATCCAATCACCATCCCCCCATCCAATCACCATCCAATCACCATCCAATCACCATCCAATCACCATCTCCATCATCCAGTCACCATAACCATCGTCACCATTCTCACCATCATCACTGTCATCAGTGCTGACATCTTGGTAAGAGCCCTCAGGGTTTCGTTTCCACTTTCATTTCCATCTTCCCCTCCCCTGCCCTTTCTTATCTTTCCCTTTCTCCTGGCCCTGCTGTCCCCAGAGCCAGCCCCCCCTCTGTCTCTCTGTCTCTGTCTCTTTCTCTCTCTCTTTCTCTGAGACTGAGGACACTTCACCTTGTCATGATTAACTGGCCCATGGGAACAGGAGCAGTGGGCTTTTCCCTTTCTCTGTTGGGACTTGGGGTGGAAACATTTTCAGAGGGGTTTGAGGCCTTGGCAAAGCCGTCTTTCCCTTCCCTCCTGTGAGCTTCACAGTAGCAGGGGAGGCAAGACAGATTAGCTGGGATGGGACAGCATGGGGAGGGTGAGTGTCCGAGTGCCGCTCAGAAATCTTTCCTCCCAGGGATGCTGGGGGATGGAAGAGTTTGGATTTTATCCCTGACTCCACGTCATTTCTTTTGTCACCACACCCTTGCTCAGTATATAGCTGCCATCTCCCTTCTTAGACAGATACTATCTCAAGGGTGTGCTCCTAGACAGGGCTCAAATGGGGGGCCATCTATCATCAGAATGGCCCCTGCGATGTGACCATCCCCCTACTCCGACATGCCAGGTCTTGGGGACCTGAGACACTTCAGTCATTCTCCCACAAGTTCCATGACTTGGGGAACATAAGAGAATCTACAAAACAGAAAGAAGGGCTTCCTTGCTGTTTTCATAGGGCAATGCAAGGGACAGATACAGGATAGAAGTGGAGCTGGGAAAGTCTGAACAAAGCCATCAGTGAGACACCCATACTGCTGTGTGAACTCTGGTTCTTCAAGCAAAACATGCAGTGTGACAGTCAGATGGTCAGTTTGCCATGGTGGACATTTCCAGGGATGAATCGCAAATGTTGGGCATCTGGTCCTCAGACCCCACTACGAGCAGGCTGACCTGAGGACTCCATGCTTAGTAGAAACAAACCCAGCAGGGACCCTATGCTCCTGTCCCTTTTCAAGTAGAGGTGTCAAGGCTCAGTGGGATGTGGGATGTGGCAATGGAGAGAAGAACAGAAGAGACACAAACCCCGGACACAGAGGACTGGAAGTAGGTAGGACTCAGGAGGAGACGATATGGCCTGAGCTTCATCATTTGTGGTAAGAACTGAGAATTGAGGAGCAAACACCAAGATTCACCACCCATGGGGCTGGGGTGATAGTTCAGTCAGTGAAGTGTGTGCGATGCAAGCAGGAAAGCTGTGTTCAATCCTTAGCCCACAGAAAAAGCCAGGTGAGGTGGCTGTGCTTATAATCCCAGCACTGGGGAAGCAGAGGCAGGCAGGTCCCGGGACTCGGTGGCCTATCATCAGTGATTTTTAGGTTAAGCTGTCCCCAAAGAGACGATTATCTCCTGAGGAATGACCCCTAATGTGACCTATGACCTCGATGTGCACTACAGAGTGGCGAAGGGGTGGCCACAGACTATAATCATGGAGTTTGTACCCACAGGGCGGGGGAGGGAAGACGGTAGGGGAGGGGGGTGTAGTGGACACATGAGCTAGCAGGGCCTTAGGAATTCTCCACCCATTTCTTGTGTCTCTCCAGATTCCTAGACCTCGGGCTCTTCTTCCCTACATTACTAATTACTTGTAATACTGATGTATTTTAAAAGGAAAATCCCTGAGTGATACAAACAAAGGCACTCTTAGCTTTCCCAGGGGTTCAGAGTGAAATCAAACGCCCTCCAGGTGGAGGAGAGCCGGAAGACTCAGGAAAAAGCAAAAAATGACATACTGGAAGCAGGGACGGCTGCTCCAGGCACCCTAGTGCCCTACCCCTGGGAACAAGCCTGTGTTCTCTGGGACCACAGAGCCAGCATCTCTATTCCAGCTACTTAGATAGTCTCGGCAATATGAGCTGATAAAAATACAAGAGGTCCAGGTTAAATGAGAAAAGCTATTATTTTACCTAAGACACAAAGATTCTCAGTAAAGGTATTCACCCCCACGACCCAAAAAAAGGTGTTCTCTGTTTATGACCTCCACAACTAGCTGAATATCCCATTTTTCTTTTATCCTTCCACCCCACATGTTGGCTGAGGAGAAGCCATCTCTGAAGTTTTCTTTTTTCATTTTCCCCCCCACTTTTTAAAAAACTGTTAACCCAAATTTCCAGAAACTCACCAGCCCACTGATGCAAATTAGTCCATTTGAAAATAAATGTCTCTGGCTGTTTTTCTCTCCCTGGATTTTGTCCCTGACTGGGGTAGCCATATTCTTCCAGCTCTGTGCTCGCCACTCTCTCGGCCATGGAGAGAGCTGCTGAGGCCTGCCCTGGGAGCAGAAGCTGAGGGTGGGCCTTGGAGCCCTCTACTGGTCAGTTCCAAGTGGCAAACATGGCCTCTCCAGCCCCCCCTCCCCCGCTTTATCCCCCCTTTGTGAGCCCTGTCTGGCTTTGTGCCTACTTGAGAACAAGTAACATTCAGTTGTTGGGTCCCTTTTAACCAAACACTCACCCTGGCTCTGGCTTGTCCAAATTCCAGTCAACCAGTCACGAAAAGTCCACTGTCTCTGGACTTTTCCCTCTTCCCACACTGTCCTGTAGGTTGGGTCTCTGAGGAAAACCATCTCCTAGAGGACCGGATAATTCTAGAGGGTGTTGACCAGTCTTCAATGGCCCCTTCAAAGAGGGGCAGTTGACTCCTTTTCAGGCTCCATACCAAGCAGCAGCGCTGGGTCTGCCTTGGTGGTTGCCAGGCCCTAGCCTGGGCACAGCCCAGGGTAAACATGCATTAGCAGAATGAATATTGGAAAGACTGAGGAAGGGAGCCCCCAAGTCAGAGTTATTTTTAAATAAATAAATAAACAAACAAACTTAAATAAATGGCCTTCATGGTTGAGAGTACTTGGGGCTTTTCCAGAGAATTCAGGTTCAGTTCCCAGCACTCACATGACAACTACAGGGCTGTAAGTACAGCCCCACAGGATCTGATATCATCTTCTGGCCTCCATGGGCACTGACTGCATGTGGTGTAGGAGACCCATGTGCATGCCTTTAATCCCAGCACTGGGAGGCAGAGGCAGGTAGATCTCTATGAGTTTAAAGTTAGCCTGGTCTACGTAGTGAGCCCCAGACCAACCACATAGAGAGTAGAGAGACCTTGACTCAACCTGCCCCCCCCAAAAAAAACCCAACAAAAACAAAGACAAAAAAGAAACGCTACATCCAGGCAAAATACCCCCCGCACACGCATGCACGCACACACGCACTGATAATTAACAGCAAAAAGACATGGGCTGGAGATGTAGCTCAGTTGGCACCATTGTGCCTTGCCTAACATACATAAAACTCCTGCATAAGACCCAGGCATAATGAAGCATGCCTGTAACGCCAGGCCGTGGGAGGTGGAGACAGGAAGGTCAGAAGTTTAAAGTCATCCTCAGCCCTTCAGCAAGTCTGAGGCCAGCTTGGTATACATGAGAGCCTGTCTATGAAATAAAACTAAAATGTTTAAATAAAGACACTTTATTTACAGATAATACAAAATAAACCAAAATAAACCACAGGACAAACTACTGGGTAGGGAGGGGTGGGGAGGGGAAGGGATGATAGCCATCCTCTCCATCCCAGAGTAACATATAAAAAAATTAAAAAGGCCTGGGCAGGGGCTGGACTGGAAGCACCTTTGCTGATGGGGGTTGGGCCTGCCATCCTCAGCCACATTGTTCTAGAGCACAGTAGACACTGACTCTCCCCTTGGAGTCCCAGGCCTGGCAAACACGGGGCATAGCTACAAGGACAGTTAGTGGCCATTGCAGAGGTTCCCCAGCTAAGGACCCTGGCTTCTTACCTAAAGGGCTGGGGAATCGGTAAGTGGGTAAGTGACTTTAGGGGCAGGCATGGGGTTGGCGTTATTGCACTGCTCCAGCCAACTTCCTCCTGGCCACGGGAGAGGTCTACACTGGGTTCGGGAGCAGCCATGTCAGGGCAGGAGTGTGGGGTCTTCAAAGAGATGATGTTGTTGAGTCTACCACCTCACGGCCGTTGCAGACAGTGGGAACAAACTGGGATCCAGACCCTAGAGAAAGGTAACCAGAGGTTGGGACTGACTGCAAGAGGCAGCAAGAGGAGCAGTGCTATAGAGGTGAACATCCTCCCGCCTCTCGCTTGTGTCCAGTGTTACCTTGAGGGCATCCCATTCCCAGACAAGGAATCTCAGCATAAAGTCCTGGGGAGTGGACTTCATGCCTGGGAGCTAGGCAGGAGAGGAGACCTAGGAGGGGAGGGTTTAGGATGCTAACCTTGACCAAGGTTGGCGCTGGCCCTGGGGGCAGCACTGCCAAAGCGGCTGGTAGGTGTCCGGTGGCTCACCACATTCTTCTGTGGCTGGAAAAGGATGATATGCAGCTTGGGTGCGAAGAGGCAGCCGAGCACCACAGAGCCACTGAGGCTGACTGACACACACATGGTAGTGGTCTGTACCTGGGGGGGGGGGTGAGTGAATGAACAGGCCACAGGTCAAGGAGACTACTCCAAGAACCTGGGCCTGGGCCCATGACCCCTTGCCTAGGCTGAGACAGGGAAACATAGTAAGCTTCCACCAAACAGCCCCTTGGCAAGCCTCAGGAGAGGATGGTCACAATCCCAGTGTCAGCCCCAGTCACTCGTTTTCCAAGGCACACCAGGATTGTAGCTGTGTTGTGAACATGAAAAGGCGCATGTATGCATAGGGGTGAATGCATGTATGGAGCAGGTATGGAGCACATTTGTGTAGATGCCTGCATATCAGTGTGGGTGTATGTGTGCGGTAATGAGTCTGCAGGGGAGTATGTTCAAGTGTTTGCGGGAGGGGAGGAATGTACCCGTGGACAAGATTTGTGTATGTTCTATGTGTGCCAGGATGTGTGTGTACACACTTGTAGATGCATAAGGGAATGTGCAGGCATCTTCATGTTTGCAGGCATGTGTGTCTGTGCACAAGTGTGTGCATGCATGGTTGACTACTGTGTATCTCTGGTGAATCTTTAGTTGCCTATGATTGGCATGCAAATGTAAACCATATGCAAATACAGGCTGAGTCAGAGCAGAAGGAACCAAGCCAGGGCTTTTGCCAGTTTCCCAGTTCCTTTCACTGTTAAGACCATCAGTTTCGACCCTTCTCTGGACTCCCACACTGAGTCGGGTGGAGCCTGGAACTGACTTCCCGTGTCTCTATTTCATCATTTAAACAGGGGAGCTGTGGGACTTACTTGAGTCATGAGGATTAACCAAGATGACCATCTTATTATTCAGAGCTCAGCTCACCTGCCACCTCCACAGACAGACCTTCCCAGGCCATCTCATCTGAAGTAGCTGTTGCCTGTTGGAGCTGAGGACACCCCCTTGAGACACTCAGTGACAGTTGGAACCTTTTGCTTGAAAGCCACCAACTGGAGTACAGTTGTCACCTACTTTGATTTTTCTCAGCTCTCCTCCTGTGGCTCCTACCCCTCCCTTTGCTTTTCTTCATTTGTTGGCCACCCCCTCCTCCATCTCGAGATGACCCTTCACTGTAACAAGGCAGGGCCTACACTCTGCAACCCCAGCTCTTCTCAGGATAGGGGAGGGCATCAGAGTCCTGACAGCTGACCGCCCCTGACACCCTAAGCTCCCACCTCCCTGGACATTTCTCCAAGCTTTCTTTCTCCCTTAAACCTCTCACCATTTGACTTCTTGAAACTTTAGAGTTTACAGTAGATACAATGAGACAGATATCAGAAAGGAGTGTGGCTCTAGCACTCCACCCCCTCCTGCTTGTGCAACAGACGGCTCACCCGATAATCACTGGAGGTGACATAGAAGATGGGAAGGAAAGCCAGCCAGATGATGCAGGTGGTGTACATGGTGAAGCCAATGAACTTGGCTTCATTGAAGTTCTCCGGGCACTTTCGGGTCTTGAAGGCATAGAGCGTGCAGAGAGCAATGAGGAGCACGTTGTAAGCCAGCGAGCCGAGCATGCTTGCGTCACGGTGGTTACAGCGCAATGTCACTACTTCCCGCCGCTCAGGGGCTGTCTCCTTGCCTATGCCTGGTGCCTCCACCACCAGCCAGGCAGCAACAATGAGCAGCTGGCCTGAGATAAGTGCCAGGCAGATGGCCACCTGTGAGGCAGGACTGATGAAGCGTGGCCGCTGGGCACCCTCCCGGGCCCCGCCAAAGATTCGAGCAATGCGGTTGGTCTTGGTGAGGAGGGCTGAGTAGCAGACAGAGAAGGCCGTGCCCAAACCGAGGCGCCGTAAGGTACACACTGCCGTGGAAGGCTTGGCAATGAAGATGAAGGTCATACAGTAGCAGAGGAAGACACCGCCCAGCAGAATGTAGCATAGCTCTCGACCAGAGGCCTTGACCACCGGTGTGGCATTATGCCTCACGAAGACACCCAACACAAAGAGGGTGGCCAGGGCACCTAGGCAGGCAATGGTGACAGGTCCCACTGCCCAGGCATCACCCCAGCGGATATACTCCTGGGGTAGCTCAAAGCAGCCAGTCAGACTGGCATTAGGCCAATAGCCTAGGCCACAGTCAGCACAGGTGAACTCATCCAGCCGGTACTCATAGGGCTGACAGGGGATGCAGAGCCAGCAGCAGACCTCACCGGGCTGCACACTCTTCACCTCATTCTGAAGGCAGGGCTCACTACAGCGAGAGGCAGGAAGGGGGCCGGCGGATGGGGAGGCCCATGGGATGAGGCTAGTGTCCAGGGTCAGACCTTCTGCCCAGTAGCCTACCTTCTGGTAACGATAGCGTCCACTGCCTGCCCGCAGATAGGTGAAGATGTTATAGCGGCCAATACCATCACCGAAGCGGTCAAAGCGGACCTCGTTGTGAGTATCCGCTGGGCGGAAGGGGGCTGAGATGGAGGAGAGAAGGAAAACGTTAGAATGATGTGTTACTCTGATGTGACTGCAACCTTCACCCTCAGATGCAACCTGAACTCCCTTTCCAACACGGGAGCCCATTTTAACCCCAGTTATTTTTTTAAGACAGTTTATAACAAACTACAACCCTACACTCCAGCATCAAACCTTGGCTCTCACCACCCTAAGCCCCAAATGGGTGTTTACCAGTCCTGTTATGACTTGCCAAACCCAATCTTAGACTTTAGTCTTCAAGCTCTTAACTTTATCACAACACACAACATAGATCTCTCGCAAAAACTTACCAGAGATCCCAAAGCCAAACCAGGTCTCTAGCTGCAGCACCCATTCCAGCCCCAGTCAGTTCTAACTGATCCATTGCAAAACAGAATCCCAACTTCAGTGACCACCTGACCACCGCCTTCCACAGAAGGACCACTGCCACTCTCTGTCCCCTTATACCCTCCTGTGACCCAGCCAGGCTTAGAGGCACAACTACAGCCACCCTTGATCCAGTGAGAAATCAGGGCTCCAGCCAGCACATGAGATGCCAAGGGCCTCATAAGTGACCAGACTGGCATCTGCCCAGCCCCTACTTCTTCCACTTAGACTCCAAGTTCTCACAGTCTAACTCTGCACAGCCACAAAATACATCCAGGCCCAGCAAAATCTCCAACATCAACTCCACGAGACCTCCGGCTCTAGCTCAAACCCCTACCTGATCCTTATGATAACTCTGGGTGTTGATCTTAGTGGAATTACCCTCAACACAGGCACAGTTTCCACAGCTACAGAGCTGGCCAACTCCAAACAAGAAGAAAAAAGTGTATCTTTTGTTTTTGAGAGAGTCTCTGTAGCCCAGTTGGCCTTGAGTTCACAGCCCTCCCTTTGCATCAGCCCTCTGGTGCTGAAATTAGAGGCATGAGCCATCATACCTAGCAAAAACATTTATTTTAAACATTCAGTTAGGAGCTGGTGAGATGGCTCAACAAATAAAGGTCTTGCTGTCAAGCCTGATGACCCAAGTTGGATTCCTGGTAGATGAATGATCAATTAAAGCAACAGGAAGATGAGTGCCTTCACTCATTTGGGAATTCCGTGCCATTTCAGATAAGGGATCAGCACCCTCAGACTTTGGTACCCACAGAGATCCTAGAAGCAGCCTATTGCTGAAAGCAACTGTCCATTTGGTCTGAGTCTTGACCAGTGATTCTATGTGCCATTCCTGGCAGCTTCTCCCACTGCACCGTCAAAGAGTCTTTCTGAAACCAAGCACAGTGGTTCTGAGGCTCTTGCTCTTCTTAAAACTTTTGCTTTTAGCTGGGTCTGGTGGCGCACACCTTTAATCCCAGCACTCGGGAGGCAGAGGCAGGAGGATCTCTGTGAGTTCGAGACCAGCCTGGTCTACAAGAGCTAGTTACAGGACAGCCTCCAAAGCCACAGAGAAATGCTGTCTCAGAAACAAACAAACAAACAAACAAAAAACCCAAAACTTTTGCTTTGAGAACTCTTGGCTACTTTGGGTAGAAAAATCAAGATTAGGACAGGTGTGGTGGTGCACACCTATAATCCCCGCACTTGGGAACCTGAGATGGAAGAATTGCCATGAGTTTGAAGCTTTTGGAAAGTCTAGGCTATATAGCATGACCTTATTTAAAAAACAAAAACAAGGGGCTGGAGAGATGGCTCAGTGGTTAAGAGCACTGACTGTTCTTCCAGAGGTCCTGAGTTCAATACCCAGCAAACACATGGTGCCTCACAACTACCTTGAGTGAGATCTGGTGCCCTCTGCTGGCATGCAGGCAGAAGACTGTATACATAATAAATAAATAAAATCTTAAAAAAAACAAAAACAAATAAAAAACAGGTTTACAAAATCCATCAAGATTAATAATAGAAGTTTCACCTAAATAGGATGTCTTCCCTGTGGTTCACCCTCAACCTACCCTGATTTAGACTCTCACTCTGGCTGGGAATCGGTGGGGTTTCCCTGGCCAGATAAAGAGGCAAGAACTAGAGGATAATGTCCAAGCAGCAGTCAGGGATATTAGAGTCAGGACCAGTCCAGATTACACTTTCTGGAATATTCCTCAAAAAGTGGAACCTCAGCCCTGACTCTAGCTGGGGTCCTCTGCTTATGGTCCCTTTGTCCTAACTTTACACAGCCCCTGACTATGTCCTTGTGTTACATCCTATGTTTCCTTAGCCAAGAAATGGAACCTGAAGGCCACCAGACTAGCAGACACTGGCCGGAACTAGTACCGTCAAACTTGACATTGAGCACGAAGTCTTTGTAGAGGCGGCGCCCATTGACAGGTCTCATGGCATCACAGAGGTGGGTGGTGTTGGGACAGAGGGCTCGGTGCATGTTATGCAGAGCGTGGGCCATGGCATACACTGCGTTGACCACAAACATGATCTTAGACTCCTGTTCAAAGGGCACGGACCGCAGGGAGTGGGCTGCACAGTTGCGCTGTCGGAAGCTGCAGTGGAACCTTTCCTCCCAGAACTCACGGAACCAGGGGTTCCGGCTGTTGTTCCAGGGATCCAAGCTCTGGAAGTAGGAAGCAAAGTCACTGATGGGATAAGAGGCCAGCTCAATGGTGATGGCACCCTCTGCAGCCCCTTCACTGCCTGCTACCACACTCTCCAGGGCTCCCCAGCCATCGCTGGCCACCCAGGTAAAGCTGGCATTGAGGCGCTGGGTGGCTGCAAGCAGCTCACGGGCATCCTCAGACCGTGTGAAGAGCACAGCGACCCGGGCACTGGGCTTCTGCAGCAGGGCTCGAACCACACCCTCGAAGGCTGCCCGGCTCATGGCACGGCCCACCTTCTCCGAAGTGGCCACACAGATGTTTCGAGCACGAGCCTCCAGCTCAAAGGCCTCAATGCCTGTCTCACCATAATCACCCTCAGATGCCACCGTAGACACGTATGTCCAGTTGAAAAAGCGGAGAATCTCAGCCATGGCCTTGGCCTGGAAGAAGTCTGGAGGCACAGTACGAGCAAAGTAATCATAACGGGACTTGTCGCTCAGCTTGGCACTGGTGGAAGCATAGCTGATCTGTGGGATCTGAAACAGCCGCAGGAGATTGGCCACCTGGGCAAGGGTAGAGAGGGTAAAGGTCAGAGACCAGTTTAAACAAGTGTTAGAGTCAGTCCCCATACCTATGGGATCTTGGGACCAAGTGTCCACAGGCTATCCCTGAGGGTTCCCTATCTATGAGTCTGAATTTGATGCGTCTTCTGCCTAGGAATTGAGGGTTTCTCTCCTCCCCAAAGGACTGAGAGGGAGAACAGTCATGGCCATGAGCTGCACCTGAAGCAGATGCAGGGCAGGGGAACCAAGGAAGGCCTGGGGCAGACAGAGGTTGGCACTCGGCTGCATAAGTATAGAGAGACAGTGGTGGCACCTGGGATACTCAAAGATGCCAATCTCTCTTTTTGTTTGGTGCCCTTCTTAAGTGCCAGTTCTCATGGGAGGCTGGAAAAATGTCACCCCAAGAAGAAAAGCCTAGATCCTTGCTCCATGGTTCAGGAAGCCCAAGTTGGTCCCAGGGCCAAGACCCTGTGATTGGGATACGGGCTCTCAAATGGTCTAGAGCTCAAATGGCTCCTCACACATTTTTGTCCTCTGTACCCCTCTAACAAAAGTCCTCTTGAGCCTTGGATTCTCATGCTTGAATCACAAGTTGCTGAGCAGCTGAAAATGGTCTGTGTGGAGGTTCTAGCAGGTGGAAGCCAACGGCGACATGTGCAAGGCAGAGGAGCTGGGATGAGGTGGAATCATTAATGGGTTAGCATAACCTAAGGACTAAAGGCTGGGTCTCTGCTGAGCAGAACAAGAGAAAAAGGCAGCCTGACTCTGAAGGATGGGCCCCGCTAGAGAAAGGTGTGTTGGGATGGCATGCATGGGCCCTGGAGAAAACTGTGGGAAGAGGAGTTGCTGATAAAGCGCCCCAGAGTCCCCTGAAGACAGCCACAGGAGGTTGCCCACCCACCCATTCCTGTCAAAGCCAGGACTACAGATATAGGTGCTGGCATAGCCACACCTGTCCAAGCAGACACTAACACTTCCGCTAGCTGGGATTAGCGAAGACAGGTTCCACCAGGTCCCACAGCTCCTGACCCTGTTTCATTTCTCCTAAACAACCATCCCAGGTCAGGGGGCTAAGCGGCGATGGCAATGGCTTCTCCTAAGGAAACCGAGGCTGTCACCAAGGTCCCCAGATAGTTCCCAGCCCTGGTTCAAGTTCTGCTCTGACCTCTCTGCATCAACACTGGACACAGACACGAGAGGACATGGGTGAGGAGACCCAATCAGGAAGGAAGAAAGATCCCAGCTAGGCCAAAGCATCCAAGTAAGGCCAGCATTCTAGAATACGGTGGCAAGTGGGCTGGATCCACAGCTGAAGCCTAGCGGGGAAAGGGGAGGGGGCACCCTCTGCTGACCCCTTGTGGAAGAACAAGTGGTGCAGGTGGGGTCCCTAACCTTCCTCCTCCCTCCAATTCTGCATCACCTGAAGACCTTAGGCTATGCTCCCCATCTACACTCTCACCTTGTTTCTTTGGCTGCTCCAGGCTTCTGTCTGTCTATCCTGTCAAATCCAGATAGAAATGACCTGACAGACTCAGCTGACAGCCCTGATTTCATTCTTCATTTTTGCTACCGCATTGATTTATGACCTGCTTCCCCCTGAACCTGTTTTCTCGCCTATAAAATGGGCTAATACTGACAGCAGCTCTCATTGACTATGCTCTTATGACCTGCCAGGTCCTGTGACACACACTCATCTCCTGAAATTTCTACTACAAATGCAAAAGTAGAAAGTGTTATTAATCTTATTTAATAAAGAGGAAGCTGAGACATAGAAAAAAGAACCTGTCCAGAATCATGCAATTAGTATGATGGGGAGCCAGGATTCAGTCCTGAGATTGACTTCAGAGGCTGCCTAATAATACTTTGGGGACATTTAATATCTATCGGGTGTGTGTGTGTTCGCGCGCGTGTGTTAACAGGATGATTCTGTTTCCTCTCCCTTCCTGAGAGGAGTTTCTCTTACACAGTCTCTAGAAAGAGACCCTATTATATGGCCTATTCTTGCCCTTTTGTAAGAAACTAATGAAAGGATGATGCTTGGTACCTTCCCAACGCTTCCATCCAGGAAGTCCCTGCTCATCAGGAATGCTGGATCACCCTTTGCAGCCCCCCTTCCTAATACCCATTTGGGTGATTTCCACATACCTGGATGGAGACATCACTGTAGGAGCCACCAATGACACCGGTGATGGCTGTGGGAGCGTCGCTATGGGTGGCATAGGAACCATCAGGACAGATGTGGCGTGAGCCATCAGCACCACGACTGAGTGAAGCACGCACAAAGTCCAGTGCCTGCTCCAGGGCGTGAGTATCCTTGGAGCAGCTGTCGAGGATGTGAGCACCCAAGCGCACACCAGGCAGCAGGTGGGGGTCGCGGTTGATGCGGTCCAGTGCAAAAAGCATGGCCTCTAGGCGCTGTATGCCACGGTGCTCATTAACAGGACCACATTCCTCTGTTGGGCCACCTTTCTGGTGCACTGGGAACAGCCCACCCAGCACCAGGTCCCCCTCCAGGGTCAGCACCTTCTTGGCCGGGCCCTCAGCCACAGCACCTTGCAGCAGCAACAGTGCCAGAAACCCAAGCAGTGATCCCATGGCCCCAGAGAGGATGGTTAGGTCCAGCAAACCGGGGTCTTCAAGGGATGAGGATGGACTCAGCAGAGGCAAAGAGAGGAGGAAACAGGGACCAGGAAAGGACAGACAGGAAGAGAGATGAGAAGAGGGCCAGCTCCTGCAGAGAGATAGAGAGACAGACAAACAGGGAAAAGTAGAACCAGAGAGTGGCTGCTCCCTTTTGTTTACGGCTTCCCCTCAGAATCTGTTCCTCCCCACATACCCTTCCCAGGTACTCAGGAGTCATGAGGAGAGTGATGTCACTAACTATGCTGAGAAGCTCCTGGCCTACCCCCATAGGTCTGACTCTCAGCTTTGCCCTAATCTTGGCTAGAGATGGGCTCTGCGTCCCTACTAAACTCAGCAGAGGGCAGGAAGGGTGACAGTGGGGGCCCAGGCAGAGGATAGGGGATCCTGCCATTGCCAAATTCTACATAAACCAAAGGGCCTACGCTAACCCCCTAGGAAATCCATACAGTAGTGGCTGAGGCCATGGTAGTTACATACTCAGAGGTCTGGCTCCCATCCTGAACCTTGGGTTTCCAGAGCAGGGGTATTGGAAGGCCCGTCATGGGGAGGGAAGAATCTCTATGGGATAGTTCCCAGCCCAAGAGAAACTGAAGCCCAGGGGGAACACCCAGGGTCCTAGACTCTGGTTCTTAAAGGGCCAGTCCCCAAAGTCTCCTGAATGAGAAAGAAATGGAGACCCTCAGGGCAATGAGACAGTAAGGGGGAGGGACTGACCCCAGAGAGAAGGTACCATGTAGCTAAAGGTCTCAAGTCAGCGGAGGAAATGGATGTGGATGCATGTGTGTCACAGGTGGGGAACAATTAACCTGGTGAGACCTCTAAACAGGGATGGAGCTGACTTGCAGTTGCCCAAGCTTTACACGAAAAGCTGTTGGAGACTTAGCTTCTCTGTCTCTCTTCACTCACTCCAAGCCCAGAGGATGTCATTTCCAGCTTTAGCCCTCTCAGCCTTTGACTGACCTTAGAGTTCCCCTCCCATCCTCTTTAGCCTGCATCCTATCATCTGTACCTAATCATCCAGCCTATGTTAACCCTACACAGGCAGGCTCTTGAGAACATGCAGGCTTGGAGAGGGGCACACCTTTCCTCAGGATTGGAAAGGAAACTACAGCTTAAGAGGACAGCAACTAGTTCAAGGACCCCCGTCCTGGCCACAAAGACTAAGGTTTCTCATTGGACTAGTCTTCTGCTGGTGCTAAGGCAGGGGAACTGGGAGCCTGGGAGCCCAAAGAAGCAGCTCAGCCAGGCAAACAGGAGAATCAGGGGTGAAGACTAACACAGATGGGCCAGAAACCCAGGGGAGGCCCTGATGGAAGCTGAGGCAGAGAAGGGGGCAGAACCTGGGAGTCCAACCGAAAGGCAGGACCACAAAAATCTGAGAGGGCAAGCGAACCTTAGAGGCTGAGACAAAGACAGAGGCACAGACAGAAAGAAGGACCAGAGGATGGTAGAGCCGGAGGAACTGGGAAGCGCGATGCAGGGTGTGCGTTCTCTTGGGAAGAAAGGCGGGGTGCCCGGGACGGTCTTCCCGCTTCCTGGAGCTCCCAGAAAGCGCTGTCTGGATGCCTCGGTCCGAGTGCTCCAGAACTCGAGGACCGGCGGGGCCCCGGGATGTGGGGTCAGGGCTAAAAAGGTTGGCAGTGGCCGCAGCACCACAGGCTAACCCTACCTGGCGCGCCCAGCTCTGGCGCGGGGCTCCGGTTCCC